GATTCCGTTGTTGGAGAATCTTGACGTTCACAAAGCAACCGTTCTCATGTCTGAAGAAAATTATGAGAAATCATTGACCGAGATGAGCAAAAGAATAAAAGAGACGGAGGCGGAGAATTTACGTAGCGGTCGTAAACGTCAAAGAGGTAGATAAATTGCTATTCGCGAGGAATAATCTATTTGTTCTTGATGGATTTTATATATTGATCGACCTTTGTTTTCAACAGATCTCTCTCAATTTCGTAGGGTGCGTATTATAACTAATTGCAAGTGCATATAGTAATATGTTCGTTTAACTGAAATAATGCAATCTACAAAAGGCGCTTCAAGACTTAACAAGACAAGTGGAAGAGTTGGATAGGTTAAAGACGGAATATTATCGGCAAACTCTGGAGACAGAACAAAATAATCACAGCTTCATTCTATCCAAAGTGTCGACAGTGATCAGAGCCGAGGTAGACATTTACGAACGGATCTATAATAAAGGAATTTCTGATCCGATTCTGGAAGGGGTAAGGTTCTCATTGTTTTCTCCTTCAGGTGATATTCCGTAAAATCACTAAACTTTTTTATATTCGTCATCACTCAAGATGATAAACCAAGGGACCGATCCTTTTTGCCCTTATCCAACTGCGGATCAATCTTCCGAAATATTTAGTGTTCTCCCACCAGTCCCCATTATCAATCCAATACCCGAACCTAATAGCGTAGCAACATCGTCAACAATTGATTTGTCCAATGAAGATATGTATAGTCCTAATGGAGTGAAAATTCGATCGCCACTATCGACAATAACGGACGATGTTGACGAGGAACGCGGGTTTATCATTAAACCCACCATTAGTAGGAGGAATACACGCGATAATTCACGTAACATTCATCAATATCATGATGAAGAATATGATCAATTTACTAGCGAACATTCGGATCCTCTTAAGTTTCACCGACCTAATAACGGAACGTTATCCAGTCAACTTAGCTTACTGGTCGGTTCCGACACACCATCAATAGGTCGAGATTTCCATCCGTCAATCAATCCAGGCTTCCACATTTCAGACGATGCCGAGTTATTGCATGACAAGGAATTTGCGTATGGTGTGGAAGATAGTGGATTCGAGGGTAGTCTCGCTAGCAATTCTACTGATTATGGAAAAATGAATGAAACGAAAGATTCGGTTTTTTTGAAGGTTCGAGAAACAACTGTTAGTGATCCTCCATTGTAAATATCAAATATTTAACAACCATGAATCGTTTGAAGAAATTTTAACACATTATGATCAAGTTTAATGTAATTATCATTTTGACTTTATGTTTTATATTAGAGTTTTCACGATCCATATATTATCGTTATTCTAATTTATAAATTGTACTTTATGATTATTACCAAACATAATGACCATGAGACTTATAAGGAAAGATTTTTCTTGTACTTAATTACGGACAATTTTCAGAATTTAAAAATTTTTTCTAATTTTATCTAAGTCATTTTTTAATTAAACCTATCCCTTTATTCTCTTGTTAACTGTGTATACACCGAGTATATATGGTGTGAATGTATTTTTATATTAATAGTATGTTAGGCGTGAATTATTTAGCAAGCAATAAAAAGCTATGTCAAAAAAGTATTTTGTTCACAGTTCTCTCTACGTTCTTATGGATTAAATAAGATCGTGGCTATATGCTAGGCTCGAAGAAAGTCCACGAATACCATTAACGTCCGACAGGACATTAAAATTATTGTTTCTTTAGGATAATAACTAGACTATTCTAGGATATGAACCCATCGTATAATTGACCGTTTGAAAAAGTCACGCTTACCCAAAAAAGAAAGTTCATCTTGCCTATTCTTATTATTTCCACTGGTCGACTTAAATTTTGAAATTAATAACAATAACAATGCTAGTCGGATTCGGATTTTATGCTATGTTATGAGGTTATCAAAGTTTTAGAATAAATTACTGATTTGTGATAAAGAAAAAATAGGTTACTAAAGATATTGATCTGATTTGATATGTAATCAAAAGATATTTTATTGTAAAGATATTTTATGACAAGCAATCCACCAGAATTATCTGACTTTCAATTTCACCTTTTCAATTCAAGCAATTATATGCAGTCAGCGCTTTCTTGTGAATTTGAAGAATTTGAAGAAGGTTCACACAAATATTTATACATAATAATCTCGTAAAGAAAAAAAAAAAAGTAACAATGAGTTGCTTATCGATATTCAAGTTTTCCCCAAAGTGATCAGAGTGCGCCACAATGCATTGCAAAAGAAAAAAAAAAAGATTATTCATCAATCTAAGGTCAACTGGCTTTGAATAATGAGAAAATCGTGGTCACATAATCGGGAAACTATGGTTTCTTCAGAGTGACGGTGATCTGCGTGATCCAGTCATCACAGGACAATTTGAAACCCGTCTCTCCTCTCGTGAGGATTTGGGAAAAATAGCAACATCGCATACATCCAGAACATTTTCCGTTAAATCTGACGAACCCAATTTTAAAATACGCGTCTGGCGCATGTTAAGCCTGACAAACAAGAGCATTTCACGGAATTGACGTGTGGTCAAAAAAGCAACGCCCGTGGAAATGTTTTTTTTTTTTTACCTAAAAATGCACCAAGGATGTGACGTAGAACGTCAATCCATGCCGTTCCGTAGACACTCCGCAGTAGACCCCCGTACTGTGTGAAACGATCTTGTTTACATATTCAAATTATAGAAATAATAAGAGCAATCGGATTGGATTTTGAGGATATATAGAGTTCTATCATCAACTATTCTTTTTGCAATAACATTTTGTATTAATCAAAAAAAAAACAAAATTTTTTTTTTTTTTTTACGAAACTTGTGGTAACAGTGGTTTACTACCAAATTTGTCAATTTGTAAATTTTTAATTTCACCGTGACATTGTCCGGGCGCTCACTGTACCATAAATTTTTTCGAAATTTTTTTCGTCTATATATAAGACGTTAATTTTTCTCCGAATATTTACTCGATAACAGATTCAACCTTTCAAGGACCATCATCAAAGTCTTTAGTGATTCTTTGATTATACTATTAATATAAATTAGATGGATAAACGTCAGGCTCGTCGACAGGACCCCATCCAAAAAACTTCTCGTAGGCCGAGGA